GAGTGTCCCACAAGAGTGTCCTACAAGAGTGTCCCACAAGAGTGTCCCACAAGAGTGTCCTACAAGAGTGTCCCACAAGAGTGTCCCACAAGAGTGTCCTACAAGAGTGTCATTTGGACATATGTAGTTTTTTCGAACGTGCTTGCATTCGGGTTCGTGGGTTCCATCTTGTTATAGAGAGCTGGTTTGCAACACTGCAGGAGGTTGATATGTGATTATTAGTCGGGCTAGTTTATCGTTTTGTCAATATAGAATCGATTCTCAAGGTTCACTGGTAATTAATTCCACAGGGGATACTATACAACAAGCATCTAATTGGGGGTCCTGCTCATTTTGCTATGCATCATTTGGGGTGTTGGCTTGGACATGAACTAATTACGTACCTTTTCCTTGCTCTCTCTCTCCCCCTCCCACTCTGCAAACGACGCGGGCGGCTGTTGCCGTGAAGCGACCTGAAAAAAGACCGACAAGGAAGGAAGGAAAGAAATACATACACTTAAACAAAAGAGAAAGAATCGAAAGAATGAAAAAGACAGAACGACAAAACAAGAAAGAAAGAAAGGCAGACAGCAGGGAGGGAGGGACGGAGGGGGGAGGGAAGGACGGAGGGAGGGAGCGCGCTTGGCCCTTTCTAATCCGAGGCGCTGACAGGGACAACTACTATTTCGGAAACTTAACTGCAAGTTGCGAGCAGGTTAGCTTCACACGAGGCATCAAGAGGCTGCGCTAATGATGACTGCCACTGTCCTGACATGCCACCAAGGATGCGATGCCCTTTTTGAGCGCCACCCTGACATTCTACAGGAATGCTGTGACAAGCTCAGGGGGGCTGCACAAGACACGTTTTCAGTGTCAAAACGATGAGATATGTGGCATGAGACATTCACCTTGACAAGGTGCTGTCAGAGGCCAGAAGCTGCTCCCCACTCTTTTTGATGGTTGCTCGCATGCAATAGGCAGCTGGAAGGTGGCTGGTCAGTGCCGAAGTCAAGAGAATTGGAAAGTGACTGTGCATTGAATGTTCTTCCTTGCTTATCATCAGTTGGCAGATGATTGAAGTGCATATCAAGCGCCTCAGGATTGATTTGGAGATCGAGATCGTCAGTGAAGAAGCTGCTGCTTGACTGAAACTTTCCCATGCTTGGCGGGGTCAGCGCTCTTCCGCGCTTGAAGAAGCTTCGTTTGAGCATTTTATATAGTCGGGCAAGTTTGGCATGTTAATATAGTTGGTCTGATACGTGTGACGGAGATCAGCCTTTGCAGGACCCCTTTGTGGTCCGGTTTGATGTTGCAATGATGCTTGTTGATTCCATCAGAGAGATCATGAGCAGAGAGTGTTTGTTCAAGCGAGTCCCAGGCGCAGAGTGAACTTTTTTGTGAAGCACCTGATTCAGAACAGCGACAACACATTCAACACCTATCTCCCTGCGATTGTAAAGTTGAATGCTGCTTGGCTGCCCACAAGGATTGATGAATAAGCCACAATATGGGCTGAAGGCTGATGGAGCCCGTCTTAGAGCTGCAAACACTGGGTTCAAAGGGACATTGCAAATTGTATATAACAATAATATAAATATTAACATAAATATACAATATGTGACGTGCGTGTGTGTGTGTGTGAAACCCTTGGAATCACAGGGAACCTTTCGGTTTGCAAAAGCAGGGCGCGGTGGGTATTTCTTGAAGTCACCGCTCAACGAAGATACTTCAAGATTGCTGTGATATGCAATCTGCACGCAGATTGCATGTACCTGCGAGAGGATGATGACCTCCTTGGTCCCATACATTACTAGAACAAGAATCTTGGCCAGTGCGTCGGTTTTGCATCTGCAGACAAGTGCTGGTCGATCGCTCGTCTTCACGAACTTGGAGCTTTCTTTTGATGACTTGGAGCTTTCAGGGCTAGCCCGGCCGCCTTACATACGACCTGCTTTTACCCAGGCATCTTTTCACTTAGGCTTCTTCAGGGGCTTGAAGTGATCAGTTCCGTGCGCATTTTCCCGAGTGCGTCCTGTCCATTTGCTTGTTTGTTTGTTTGTTTGTAGGTATTCGTTGCTTAGTTTGTAGGTAGTCTGTAGGTAATAAGTCCTGTTTGCATGTATGGATGTATGGATACACGCGGCCAGAATGCAGAGTGTAGCATGCATACAACGCATCTCCTTTCAGGCCCTGGGCCCAGGATGGCCCAGGCTACCCCAAAGACCCAAGGAGACCCCAAAACACAATCGTTTCCAAGCTAACCAGTTATGTGCCGTCGCACAGTGAGAGCACCCGTTGATTGGTCCGCCATATGCTAATGCCGTTGATGTTTTGAAATGTTTCGCGCCACACCGAGCATCCCCCGATCTTCCCCCCTTGGTTCGCTCCGTGGGCGCTTACTGTCGGGGACTCGGCATACCTTTGGCACAGTTGGTTCCGGGAGTAGGCAGCCCACACCGCAATTGGGCCCCTTTCATATCCTTTTCATCATATGTGTTCAAGAAGATTGTGCTTTTCTATTGTGTATGCAAACGCATCATGAACGAAAATGACAAACATATCATTCTCATGTCGGAAGCACAACTGAATCCAGCGCGTTGCTGCATTTGAATATTTTGGCGTATTTTCGTTGGTGGGAACTGTCTTTGGACAATTTTTTGGAACCCAGCCACTGCATGAAAACTTAGGACCCCAAGTTGATTGGCCATCCGGTTGTCAGCTTCGTTTTCAATTTGCTATGGACACACCTTGCACGATATTACTTCCTGCGAAGCAGGCAGGAGTGAGCAATGGATGTGTTTGACACAGAAAGTTGATGATAACGCTCTATTCAGCCGCTATTCTCTAGTTTGTGAGATGCTTTGAACACCAGGCTTTTGTTTCTATTTCTGGTGCTTATGGCGGTCACGTCACAAAGCATTCTGCCTCGAATCAACCCACGAGCTGAATCAGATTCACAAAGAATTGCATTGTTTATTTGTGCCCTGGCCTGAACTGTAGGGACATGATGGGACATGGGCCAGCTTTGCAATCCCTTCCAGACAAGAAGCAGACACACTGATGGTGATCAAGGTCTGTTTGGTCAGTGGTGATCCAAGGTCGCGTGGTTTTGTACTTCGTGGATTTGCTACCGCAACTTCTGGAACATGTTCGGCTCACAGTGCGGGATTGTAAACAACGCTCCCTCTTCTACGTGGGTGGATTTGTACCGGCGCCCGCATACTTGAACAATCTGCCGCGCGTTGGCCAATTGGCACTGATCTTTTGCATGCTGTCTCTTGGGCTGAAGATCGAAGTCAGCGGCGCCGAATTCAACTTTGGGTATTCACACACTGACTGCATCATCGATCGAACTCAGGCTGATGTTTATTCAAGAGCCAATTTTGGCATGTTTCAGCAACATGCTGCTCGGCCAGCTTGTTGTTGTGATTTGATTGCTTTCTTTGCCCGCCAGCAGGTTCAACAAAATTGTACCATTATACTTATTATAATTATGTATACTAATATTTTTAGAGCAGCAACACTAACGAGTTAACGTTGTCCATCAGTAAGCTGGCTTGGGGATTCCAGCATGAATAGGAATGGCCTCCAACCTAAGAGTGATTGGGATCCCAGATTTGGAAGGAGGATGACCCAAATTGTGCGCCAATCAAGCTCGTTGCTGTTGGACAATCATCGGCCGTATCCTTTTTGAGCCGTGATCCAGTGAATCTATATCCTTCAATAGGGGTCGAATGCCAGAACTGAGATTTACCAAAGTTGAAGTTGTTAGACCTTCTTGCACCTGCCTGCACAATGGACTTGAGAATTTCAGGTGTGGTAGAGCCAAAAGTACAGTAAGTAGAAGATAGTATGTCATGAACACTAACTAACTAAGAGTAGCCCCAGATAGTTTAGGAGAGAAGCAAGTGTTTTTCTTCGTTCTGGGCCTTATAACATCTAAGAATCTGCGTGGATCAGCCACGGTTGAATTAGGAACTCCATTTTGCGTGGCTAGTGTGGGATGGTCAATTATCCATCACTTGCATATTTACTTTTTACAACAACGGCCTTTGGAGGAAATTCGACCTTATCAGGCGACACGTCTTATAAGGGGAAAGGGTGTCACTTGGGAAGCTTTCTAACCTATCACGAAAGCTAGCCTTAGCTAGCTGGAGTTGCTCTTGCTTTAGCAAGTTAAGTGACGGGGTGGACGCACCTCAGAAACCTCAAATAATTGATTAAATCAATCTTATGGACCCCCCCCCCCCCC